AGGAAGAGCTGAAACAGTGGCCAGGCTCCTGCTTTCTAGACCTACCCTTGTAGACATGCTTTGATTTGTATTTTTGTGTGCCTGTTTTCTACTGCATTCATCACAACTGAATAGAAGGGAATGCTAAAAAGCACTTCCACCACATTAAATCAAATTACACATTTTGGGTAATCTGTTCTTGCTTTCTGGACACTCTAGGAAAAATATGATGGCAGAACACAGATGTATTTCTGCAATTTTCTTATGATATGCTTGGAAGACTCATGTCCTTTTTCTTGCATTTTCTATAGCCTCTTTTGGTTTTCTCACCTATCTTCAAAAAAAAACCAACCCAACAAACCCAAACCCAAAACCAAACCAACAAAAACTCCTGCTAAATCAAAGCACATCTTACAAGTACAATAAATCATAGAATCACAGAATAGTTAGGGTTGGAAAGGACCTTAAGATCATCTAGTTCCAACTCTCTGCCGTGGGCAGGGACTGTATTGCAAGAGCTGTGAATGCTTAAAATCCAGCTGCGATTTTAAGTAGCATGTTCTTCAAGTTGCTGTTGCAAATAGTTATCAAGCTCTCCCTCTCTAATATAGATACCCGCAATATAAATCATATTCTTTGAAAGATCCAGGGGAAGATCAGTGGCTTTGGGAGAAATCAAAGAGAAGTAGCGATTAAAGAAGATTCCAGCAGGCAATAAAGCATTTATGCAAAATGCATCATAAAAATAAAACAAATAAGGGGAAAGGAGCTATATGGGGGGAGCAGGGGGAGAGGTACTTACACTCTTCTTCCATAACAACTATTTTAGTTTCTGAGGCTGGTAAGACTTGTGGTGCTTTCGTTGTTCCTGGGGAAATTAAGGTAAGAAAGTAGTGAACAAAATATCTATTTTGAGCAGAGAAGGCTGGGCTTAGCTACTGCAGGGGGGAGGACAAGAGGAGGTGCTGCTGGGTGGCACAGGCTGGCGTGGCTGTCAATGTGTTAGTACTGGTTAGAAAATGCTCAGATGGGTAACTGATAACAGAGGCAGGTAAAGGAGTGCCCCTGCAGGGGATGGCACAGGGCACACTGGCCCCCTTGGTGTAGAGGGCTTCATGCCATTAGGATCTCTGTTGTGATGAGAGGGCTCAGGATTCACCTGGCAGGTGATGAGCAATACTGTGGAAGGTTTTCTTAGCCCTGGTGGCCACGAGAGTGTAAAGATGGAGTCACAGAACATGACAGTGAGAAAAATACGGAGTTTAAGAAAAGGTGAAGAGCCTCCATCCCACGAGTAGGTGCAGTTCTACAGCACAAAGTAATGCTCATACAAGAGATGGAGGAACGTGAAACAGATGAAGGCCATGGCCCAAGGCAATATGGGAACCAAACACATCTAGCCATTTCCTCTTTATAATCCAGGATGCTAGGGAAGTCCAATGTCCACAGTCACAAACTCTACTCAAGCCCATTGGCAGCAACAGCTCGTTCTAGATCAAAGTCCCTCACTGCTTCTAGATGCACAAACAAGAAGCTACACTGTGCACACAGCTCCCTGTCAGAGACAGGAGGTGACACCACCATAGAAAGGTAAAAGCAGAAATAAGTGTTTAGACAAGTGGATTTTTCCTGCAGTGTTAAACAAAAAGGGGAGGGGGGATATGTCCGTTCAGGAGGTGTCTAGAAATTTTCTGAGGAAAGAAGAGTCTGTAACAGGCACATTTCAGCTGTGCCCTCATGCCCACATGATACCAGTGTTAGAATACTCATTACAGAGAGCTGGGAAGTGGGACATTTTTCTAAGAAAGCATCTAATTTACCTCAAAATAATAAAAATCCGAAAATAGCACCAAAGCACAATATGTTTCGGCTAAGCCCAGAAGCATTTCCTCAGAAATTGACACCCTCCCAAAGCTTTTCAAGGCAAAAGCATTTGTTTCTGAGCAAGGCACTTTGTGGAAATACCAGAATTGCAGAGCAGACATGAGGTGATGGGTTTGACTGATGGATATTTTCTAAGTGACAAAGGGTCTCTGTACTGCAGCCACTCTCTTTCTACAGGAAATCTCTCTTCTGTGCGGAGTTTTTGGTGATTCACAACAGATCTGCATAGCTGAAAAGATGCTCTTTAGAGTCCGGTTTAAACTGAAAGCGGTAGTGGAAGGGTACTTTGCAACAGCAACGCTGCCTCGTCGGGCTGAAAAAGTCTTGCCAGCAGAGATTGAATCTCAGATCTTCATATCCATGGGCCTGAAGGTCTCATGTGTGAGGCCCCTCTCTGCCAGTCAGGTCTCAAGTGGGATCAGGAGCCTCTGTCTCTGGCCTCTGCACCCTGCAGGGCAACGGCACATTGGGTTGAGGACATCTCGCTCCTCCACGACACTTATCTCAAGCCTCAGGCCACCTCTTGTGATGGCACCTCTCTACAGGGGCACCCAGTGATGTCCACAAACCTCATTTCTCTATATCACAAGATGCAGTGTTAGCTCAGGACCTTTTCTCAGGCCTAGATTCACCTGTCTGTATCACAGCAACATTACAGGACCTCCAACAGTACTACTAAGTGTCAGGTCAGAAGGTGTGCTTCCTGCAGATGGTCCCAAAGCATCGGTACCAGCCAACCTGCCCGGGCAGGAGTATGCACCAGCTTCCAAAGGACAGTGCAGCACTAAAGAAGCAGAATTTTAAGCAGCAGAACATAAGAACAGCAATAGCTGGAGTGAGCTTCTGGGAAGGACTCCAAGGGGAGGCCACCTTGCACATCTGTTCTGATTAATCGTTATAAACTGCTAGAACTTCACAGAGCACTATGTTGAGACTTAGCCACAATGGGATCAGTGATAAGGGGCCTGGAGAAGAATGAAGGCAGGGACAGAAGATGGGACACATGGATTCAGAGACAAGCAGATGCCCTGAGTTTTCTACTGAAAGATATCACAGAAGAAGGGAGATTGCAGAAGTAAGGAAAGTTATCAAGGTCTAGGATGGCTCAGCAGAAAGGAAAGAGGGAGACTCTAGGACAGCAAGTGCCTGGGCACAGATGAAGGCTGCTTGGCTTTTGGTAGCTCAAGGGGGAAGAGAAAAAAAGAGTGCAAAGTGGGTGGACAGAGCTGCAAAAGTCTACTGTGAACAGCATCACCTTTTATACATTTACAAGAGACTGTAACTAGCAGTTAGCTGCTGTCCTGCCAGGTGACCTGCAAACAGCAGCAGCAAGGGGTGCATGCAGCTGAGAGTGGCAAGCCAAAGGCGGATTTGCAAGGAGCTTAGAAAATGGATTAATCAAGGCACTGCCCCAGCAGGCCACAGCAGGCAATCTACTGAATCTGCAGCACCTTGCTGCCTGCAGCACGAGGTAAAGGTACAGGACAGATCTTTGGGTCTCTTTGGTGGCTTTTCAGGTCAACACATTTCTGGGCACCTCAGCCGTGTTCTCATACTCCCTGTGATCTGAGTGAGAGCAGCCACCTATCATAGAATCATACAGTACCAGGTTGGAAGGGACGTCAAAGAGAACTTGGCCTTGTCAGACAGTGCAGAGGATGAATTAATTCCTGTCAAATGCTGACAGGATTACCATTTACAGTTATCATCCATCCCTGGCAGTGTCCAAGGCCAGGCTGGATGGGGCTTTGGGCAAACTGGTCTAGTGTGAGATGTCCCTGCCCATAGCAGGGGGGTTGGAACTGGGTTATCTTAAGGTCCTTTCCAACCCAAACCATTCTATGATTCTACGTGGGAAGGGGCTGTCTGGAGCTGCAGTGGCCTGATATGCAATTCCTAGTGCCACAAGCAGCTTGCAGGTTGGGAGTCTTGCAGCAGACACTGCTCAATCACACTCCTCCTCTTGTGAAAAGGGATTGGTTGTGCCTGGGAAGAGGAGGATTGCACATGGAGGAGGCAGATGTGGGTCTGATGGCCAACACATGCTGCCTGTGCGTGTCGCACATAGGAATTGGGTTGGCACATGCAGCCCCCAGTCAAAACAGGCGCAGTTTACATTGTGGTGGGACAGCCAGAGCACGAGTCAGAAAAGAAGGAAGTTCCACTGCCTCAGTGAGCTTATTCTGGACACCTCTCCTACCATGACTGGGTAGAAACACAGCAGAGCAGCAGGGCTAACTTCATAGACGTGAAGCATGAAGGCATGGAGGTCTGAGCATGGATGGCCTTCCTGCAGGCTTTGCAAGCACTGAGTTTTTACAGGCACTAACCGAGGGGGAGGCTATGTGGTATTGCGGCTTCACAGAATAAAAGATTCAGGACTTCAAACACTGCTGAGGCAGAGGTTAATAGAGAAAATAACGCCAAAAAGCAGCAGGAGAAAGCTACCTTCCTTCGCATTTGACTAATGCTAACAAGAGCACAACAGAGAAACCGGATCACACCGAGAAGGGCTGCAGAGCACAGAGCCCAGGCTCCCGCAGTGGCCCATTGTGAATGGCAGGAGGAAGAGCTTAGGAACAGAGCTCGTACAGAGTCATCCCTTCCCTAGTTGCACCCTCCTGGCTTCTGGCAACCACTGTAGAGACTTTCTGAGCTGGAGGGTGCAACCAAACCATCATGTTAAGCAATATAATTATTATAACCGAGATAATAATAAAACCACCTAACCTCAGACTCCATCTGCTGAGCTCTAAGAGATGGAGCACACATTCTAGGATGAAAACCAGAAGCAACTTCACTCATCACAAAGCTATGGTTTAATTACTTGTCTTCTGGTGAGTTTTGCTTCTCAGAAATTCTTTTTAAAAAAGAAAACATCAAGCCCACCAGCTTTCTTTCCTCTTTACCCCTTTTAAAAAGATACATAGACTGTAAGTTTATTTAAAATGTAAATTAACCACATTGCCAGTGACAGATAACAAAGATAAACATTTATGCTAAGCTGCATTTTTCTTATCTCCCAAGACTATTTTACTCCTGAAAAGCATGAAACAAAATAAAGGACAGATCATGTGCAGAACCTCCCACTTTCTGCGTGAATGGCAGACAAGACATTTGCTGGCTTCTTCACTTACCACTTTTCACATTCAGGCTGCCTTTTTCGGTGTCTTTTCCTAAAACGTTCTCCGCTTCACAGCTGTACTCCCCAGCATCTTCCAGCTTCACCTTGTTGAACTGCAGTCTGGAAATCTTTCTGTTGAAAAGTACAGCAGACATTTCTTACTCGATTGCTAACCACCCTCAGAATTGATAACCATTCCTGGCCCTGCGACACCACCCCTTCTTGAGAGGATGGCTTGCCTGACCTCACAAGCTGAATAAGCACTCAAGCCTGGTCAGGATTTAGAGGAGACCCTTCCCAGGAATCACAGCCACCCTGATTTCCTAAATGAACATCTCCCTCTGAATCCACTGCTCTTAGCATGTTGCCATGGTTTGGTCTGAGGTCCTCCTCTTTGTTAGGGGTTGAGCCCAAGAGCCCCAGCATCCCGGCACGTAGACTTTCTACACTGGAAAAAAACATTTTACTGATGGACAGCAGAATCTGCCTGCGACATGGAGATGTGGAGGTCTGTGTTTTGCACCTTCCTCAGCAAGGAGACTGAGCAGTCAGCTGCATTTAGCAGTGCCACACACTGACACACGAACACCCACAGTGTATGTAGGGACTCATCCCTTTCCAGCCTGCAAATCAGACCCTGTGGTTTGACACAGACAGCTAGCTTGTAGCTTCATCCAGGTCAACTAATAGCAGAAGCACCTTGTCTCCCCCAATTACACGCACTCTAGTGTACTACAAACATGTGGGGCTGAACGGCACACAATCATCTTACCAGCCAGAGGCACCTAGAAAGAGCAAAAGATGACGTATGGGATGATTGCCCATGTCAGCTATCAACCTGTGCTGCGTGCTACATGGGACAGGGAGCAGCTCAAGCAACAGAGCTCTGTGGTGCTATGGAGAAGACGAGCATCACCCAGCTATGGCTGATGTCCCATTCTCAGGGATGCCTCTCTGACTAATAGGCAAAATCGTTTGTTGCTTACATTAACAAAGATCTACAGGAGCCTTCAACACACACTGAATAACACTCATGAACCAACAGTGGGGCTCCCGCACTAGGCCCTCTGTTTTACTACATCTCCTTTCATGTTAGCCAGCTTATCAAAAAACACCCTGTGGTCTCTTCTCATGAGAACATATCTCTGCCTTCTACCCCAAGCTTTTATCTCAGGTCTGTGTCATGTAGTCACTTTATTTAGAGACTTGGAAACACTGCCAGCTGCAGAACGAGGTCCCAGTGGCCTATGTCTCTGACATGTGGAAAGTAATCATTAGCTTTGGACATATTTGCAATGTTAACATGTGTCATCTGAGAGGGACGTTTCTTTGGGCTGTGCAAATCATCATCCATAGGAAGTCCTTCACAGAAGCACACTGTCATCTTTTTAACACCCTGACATGCTGTTCTACTGGGAGGCACAGCACAAGGACACAGCTTGAACATCTCACTAGTTATATTAGTAAATTAAATGCACTTGGAGACAGCTTGGTAGAGCTCCCAGGATACAGGCTCTGCCCTGTTTTACAGGATGCGGTCAAGTGTTCAGTTGCACAAGTTTAGGCCCCATGTGGTGCAATTTTTAAATGAATGGTGACAGTATGCAAAGATCTCTAAATCCTAGGTCTCCCCTAAGCCACTGTGCCAAGCCAGTTATGTGGACCAACATGTTTCAACATGGGAGCCTGAACAAGCAGAGTGGTGCAAAGCTGCCTTGACTCCCAGTGCTGTACGCTCCTCTGAATTTTCTCAAGTCTCTTAAAGCAACCTATGATAGTCAAGGTCATCATGGTCCTCGCTGTTGTGGTGCCTTAGAACTCATGCAACAAGATACAGCGAAGCATTTAGGCACCTCTGGGGCCTGTTGCTGCTCGGTGGCAGCTGGGTTGTGCATAGAATCATTGAATGGTTTGGGTTAGAAAGGACCTTAAGATCATTCAGTTCCAACCCCCTGTCATGGGCAGGGTATACCTTACGCTAGAGTATGTTGCCCAAGGCTCTTGAACACTGCCAGGGATGGAGCATTCACCACTTATTGGGCAACCTGTGCCCCCTTAAAAACAAACCACAGTGGAAAAACTTAACAGTATTTAGAGCCCACAAGTAAACTTCCCAGGTAAAGTAGCTCAAATTTGTCTGCCCCTGAGCTAAAGCTTTCCTGTGCATCTTGCTGGGAAGGTACAATGGGTGTCCAGTGAAGGGTTTGGCTCTGTTGGGCTGTAATGCAACTCTGACAACACTGTCCCCAGCACACCCAGCCATTAGCCGTCTCAACCCTCCCTGACAGACTACACCATCTGTTTCATAAACCACCCCTACAACAGGCTGGTAGCTATTGCTGCAACTCAGAGCAGAAAGGCAGGCAGCACGTGTTGAAAGCAGCTTGGAAGAGCTCTAACGCTAAGTCCTGTAGAACATACCACCCTCGCACACCATGCTGAGGCTATCTGCCAGAGCAGAGCTGAAAGCATTAGCCAACACGCTGCCTTCAGCTGCCAGAGGACAGATACCCTAATGATAACTGGCTGCGTTGCAATCTCAGATGCATGGCACGTTTCACTGTGTGTAGGAACTGGAAAAATCCACTACAGCATTAGAATATCACCTGCGTACGTGATCTTCTAGAGAAAAAGGGATTTAAGCCCCAAAGATAGAAATTAGTAAGTCATTAGTAACACAAAAGGCTAATGAAAGGGGGCACACTTGACAGATTCATCTCCAAGAACAGGATGAGAGGCATTTGGTCTTTTACCTGGAGCTGGAGAGGAATGCGAGCAGAATAAAAAGCAATGTTGGCATTTACAGCATATCAGAATCAAGGTGAAACCAAAGAGGATTGATTTGTTTTAATGCACAAGACTGCTGTACTATCAAAAGTGCTTATTTTTATTTTCCATCACAGTTTGAAGTTCTCTTGGATTGTAATATCCCCTTGAAAAATCAAGGGCATTTTCTTGCTTTTCATACTCCAGACCGATGGTGTAGCTACTCTTGGTTTCCACTATATAATGCTATATGTCAGGTAACAGACTTGGAGGAGAGAGATGAAGGGTGCAGGTGAGGGTAAGTTTTAATGTTGAGCATGGCCACAGTAAAGACGATTTCCCTATTCCAGGCAGCACTGAAACAGCCAGAGATAACTTGTTTCACAGCATTAGTCGTGTGTCTCTTAATTCACATGGATAATGCCTGCGCACTGGAAGAACTGAACCAAAGGATGTAAAAGAGACTAGACCTTGGTCTGTGCGTGGCAAAGATGAACACACTGTCTCTGTTCTATTCTACTATCTCCAAGGGCTACTGAAATACCTCAAAACTGGCTAGGAAATTGTCGTTTCTCAAGTCTGTATCCTTCCTTCTGCTGCCCCCAGGGCAGGTACTTTGATCATTCGAAGGCTGAAGAGTGTTTTTACAGCAATACCAAGTAGCAGCATACAAGGAATTAAGCTGTGCACAGGAGTTTTGCATCAAGTCTCTTGCTGACCTTGTGGGCAGTGTGTCTTTTGGGGACACCAGCCCCTGGGAAAGCCCTAAAGTGTTGGTTCGCAAGGGTGCCCAGCTGCCAGAGGATACCATTCTTCTGGAGGAAGGCTCTACCCCAAGCTGTTTGTTCAGTGAAAGGGCCAGGGTCACTGACAGATCCCATTATTTCACTGCAGTGCAACTCTGTTGACATTTCTTTACTCCAGGGGAAAATCTCCCTCATTGTCTTTTCTGACCCTCAGCACATATGGCTTAGCCACGCACTAATTATCTCCTGTAGTGCCAGTGGAGGAATAAGCCATGGGGAATATGTTGTCTGCAAGCTCTGGGGGATAGGATTCATAAGGAGACCTTCAGCCTGGCCAGAAGAAGATCCCCAAAATACCTTTCTGGTCATGAGAAAAAGAGTCCCCCAGAGGGCAGTTTGGAGTGATGAGTAAATCACCCTCTGCAGTGCTAATACCAGATCACAATGGGAAGCAGGGAGATTAGCCTTTGGCTGGGACCTACACAAAGATCCTGGTAAATTCTGGCTGGGAAGGGCGGCCTCATTTGCTGTAATTTAGACAACTCAGAGTTAGACATCTAAATAGGAGTCCGGGCCTACAGTATAGTCAAAGAAAACAGGCACTTCATCTCAGCCACGGAGAGACTGTTCATGACAGAAGTCATGTTCTCACCTCCACTTTGGCCAAGCTTGAATCATTTTCCTCCTCTTACCGAGGTCATCTCCGCACAAACCCATTCATCTCTGAGCAGGAAGGCAGCTGCCAAAAGCTGCTACCAAGACACCTACATTTCACTGGGATCTTGGCGCTCCCTGTGTGAGTTCAGCCTCTTCTGCAACATTCAGGACACAAATAGCTCTAGGATTACCGTTGTAGTATTTTATTAGTCTTCTAAAAATAGGGTAGCTAACACGTAAGTAGTAAAGAAGTCAAGGAATTAGCTGATGAAGAGAATTTGAAGACTACACCATATGTAGCCCCTAAATTGTCAATGAAGAACACTGCACATAGTAAACACACCTGAGATCCTAGGAAAAGGAAATTCCCAAACATGACCCTTGCAAAGGACACACTGAATACACTGCTGTGGTTACCTATTAACTCCATTCCTCTCTGTTTGCACAGAGAGCCGGTGGCAGGAAGCACACCAATATGGCAGAGAACAGAAAGGCCAGTAATTGCTATAATGTCTACTGCTCACACTCCTGCCAAAGATTTAATTGGAGCCTACATGCTGTCCTGGCACTTTTCACGGTGGTGCATTTGCCCTGAGAGAGCAGATTAATGATTGGCAAGAAGATTCAGAATATCTAATTCTTCAGCTTACAGTAAGAAATGGTGTCCAGCAACGATCAAAGCTCAGGCAGCCCCACTGGCTGGAGCAGGGCTACCAGAGCCCTGGCCTCCAGGAACACATTCATCTTCCCCAGCACACAGTGGGATAAAATCAGGTAGAAGAGATCACTGCAATGCAAAGCAGAGTGGGGATGGCTGTGGCAAAGCACCTCTGTCTGGCAGGGCAGAAGTGGCAACCAGGAGCATCCTCTCCCCTGCACAGACAGACGGAAACCACTCCAATGTCTTTCCTGCCCTTCAGAGGCAGTTACAGAGGTGGAAGCACAACGAAACTAGGCAAGCCA